TTTTATTAATAAAAAAAAAAAAAAATGAAGAAATAAACTGTTTAAACTACAAGGATATTTATATCAAAAAAAAAAGTCATCATTCAACATGCTACTTAATTGACAAGCTGAAATTTTATAAACTAGTTTCATTATTAATGCCAAATTCAATTTTCTTCAAAAAGCATCACAAAAGCATATGGAAAACGGATGTTATCATCATCTTTGTAGTTCTTCTATTTCAATAATTCTTGGCTTGTCCGGAAATGCCCCAAAGCCTCGCCTGTCGCTGAACTTGTCGAGATTCGGAGCTTTCTGTATTCTTCAAAATCGAAGGGTACGTAAAGCGGAGGGTTTCGACAATCCACGAGCTCCGGAAGAACCTCAACCTTTCCTTCTTTAGGAGGCAACACGAAAAGAGCAATAGTGATCCGTCTCGTCGCCTTGTAGCACTTCACTTGATGCTTCACATTGCAAAACCTCCCATTGCTCCATACCTTCACATTCAAACATGATGGTCGTCATATCTTCGAGAAAATTGCAGTTTTAGTCTTCTATGTTTCACTAACTTAACCTTTTTGTCCTCTTCAAATTGGTGTTTTGATTTCTCTCTCTTATATTTGCGAAAAGGTTACAAACAGTCCTCGAGCGATTCGAATGGGACGAAATTGCAACCTTATTTGGCAAATTCGAAAAGACATTTATGTTGCGAATATGATATTTTTTTAACCTTTTTGCAAATATAAGGGACAAAATTCAAAACAACATATCGAAGGGGACGAAAAAGTCAAAGCACTGAAACATACATGACTTAATTGCAATATTCTCTTACATCGAGCCAAAAATAGGAAAAAAATGTGAACCTTTTCACTTTGTGTAACCTTTTTGCAAACATAAGCGACGAAATTCAGAACAACCATTCAAAGAAAAAGCTAGGGCAGTAAAACATACCGGACTAAAATGCATTTTTTCTCTTATATTGAATCGAAAAAAAAAATACGAAACTTTTTCACTTTACGACCGAAAAGCGTGGAGTTTTTTGCGGATAAAAAGTGACAATGTAGTGATTAATTTATTCGAACTTCCTTAAGGAAAATTATCGTGTTCGTATACCTTGCCGATATCCCCAACGTTAAAAACGAGACTTCCGGGAAAAGGATCGACGGAAATAAGTTCACCGGTTGAATTGTCCACAGCCTCTAAGCCGTTAACATCATCGTCGTCCTGTAATATCGTGAATAATCCTGCGTCCGAATGCAAGACAGCTCCGGTTTTGCCGACGGTTTCAGGGGCATAATTGTAATTGTTCATTTTCAGCTGGCAGATGCCTCTTTGGAAATGGCAACCAGACAAGCCAAGGCCTTCTAGCAGCTTAGTGCCCAAAATTTGGACAAGTTGAAGAAGGGAAGATGTGTAGTTGTGTATGATTTCCCTGCAAATTAATTGATCATGAGATAATATTAAGCTAATTGAACAGTGCTTTTTGTCATAACTAAAAAATAGCACTACACACAATTAAAAACATTAACGTTCAGCATGATTTCTCACCTTTGTTGAGGAGAAGCATTCATCTGAGCACAAAACTCATCCACTGAAACATCCGAGCCCATATCGTACAAACTCAAGCTGTCGAAAAACGGGCTCGCCAAATTCGGAGGCGTGTACCCTTTCGCGGGCTC